TGTAATAAAAAAAAAAAAAAAAGAGAAAACAGGGACGAACGCGTTCGATCGAGGAACAATTGTTGAGGAACATCGATGGCGCGCCAAACTCGAAACCTACCACTTTGAATCCGATGTTTTAGCGTAGCGTTTACGTATCGTAAGCTGTCGACATTTATACTATGAACTATGAGTAAAGGAAAAAAAAATTGTAGCGATCATTGTGGACATAGTTAATAGTATAGATTAGTTAACCGCACTAATTGTACCGAAGAAAAAAAAAGTGAAGTACATTTTAATTCCGACAACTAATTATTATTATCGAGATCTATTTCTGTCACGCGTACGTCTACACGAGCTAAACCGAATGAAAATTAAACGGGGAAATAAAATAAAAGAAATAATCGCGTGCTTGTGTGTGTGTATGCGCGAGTGCGTGCGTGCGGGTGTTGTGTGCATGTGTGGATAAGAGAGAGGGAGAAAAAGAAAAGGGAATTCGACGATTCTTACTCTCGAATTCGTAGTTAGTCTCGAAACAATAGGAAAAAGAACGTAGGGAAGAAACTGGTCGCGTTGAGTGGCATAGTGAAAAAATTCCGTATATACCGCGATAATTAAATAATTATTATATTAATTATTATTATTGTTGTTGTTAAGAAATTTATAGACCTTTTGAATTGAACGCTTGAACGATAAGTTAACGCGTTGACTGGCATAACGAAAATATCTCGATTTAATTATCACAATTTGTAATATTAACGCTATTTCCTTTTTAACTATTCGAACATATTGAATGTTCGATACCATGATATTTACTTTTTTTCGCATATTCGATCGTGTTAAATTCGCGGTGATTGTCATCGGCGAGCCCCATAACACGGAATCTATAGCGTTAATAACCAACGACTCTTCTAACATTGAACGCGCTAACTTATTTGAAACGATGCGCGTAACAATTCGAATTTTTCCCGCGCTGAAGGTGCATGGAATCGAGCACGCGTTTCTCTGAACTCAGTGGCGGGAAGAAGAAGCGAATCGAAAATCAAGCTGATCTATTTTCTTTTCGTTATTTTTCTGTCATAAACATCGTTCCAGCTTCGAACGTTTAATTGACACGGTTCGAGTCAGCTTTTCGTCGCGTTGTTTGTCCTATCGATGTTTTAACGATACAATTATTGAATAGAAACGATAGTTTCTCGGTGAATCTCGAAATATATCGAAAAACGAAAGACACGTATTTCACAATTGTATCGAAATAATAATTTCGTGGCGAAGAGGATTTGAAAAGTTAATCGTTGATTGAAAAATTAACTCGTTATATTATTTGAACGATTGTTAATTAAAATATTGTCGAATGCTGTTGTATAGAGAGAAAACGACAATGAGCTTTGAATTCCGCTGGAGATTGAACGGTTAACGTGACGCGCGGAAAGTTTCAGCGTATACATAGAGAACACGATAAGCAATAACGCGGGGACAGGAAAAGCGGAAAAGCGTAGAAAGCGATGTAATTGGCAGCCTATGACACTGTCTGTTTCTCTTCAACCGCGACCCACACGTACTTACTTGTCTGAACTTACAAACACGGCCGGTGGTCGGTCGTTAATTAATTAGGTTATCGATCCGATCGAGGCTTTTCAGGACACACGTATATCCAGGCGCGATTCCTCCTCGATACACGTGACACCTTACACGCGACACGCGACCTTACGCGAGTACACGTGTTTCCTGCTGTCGTCCAATCACTTTGCTTTCATTCGTGAAATATCACTTTAATCGAGCAAATTAACTTAACTTAACTTACGATTACTCGAAATGAAAAAACATTTCATTTTTTCATTAGTGATCGCGAACGAGTATCGCGAGCATTAGCGTAACTAGGAAAGGGACCAGGATCAACTTGACCCTCCAAAATATGTCCTGGCCCACCTCCAAAACTATTGGAACAAGTGCAAAAATATCTGACAGTTTACGAAAGCAACATTTCACGCGTACTTTTATGTTAAGGGCCTGACATATTTTTGACGAAAACTCTAGTTACGTCAGTGACTACAAGTAATTTTATCTTAGATTTAAAGTTGTATCGATGCTTTACTGTGCGGTACCAGCGTTGTACTTAATAGAACTTCCGATACTTTTTATATTCGTTTGTAACGCGTTATTTTCTCGAGTCCGGAATAATTTGCTTTCGGAAAATGACCGAAACTAATATACAATGTGCGAGCGAAAACGTTCGCGAAACAGATGATACGATCGATATTTGTCGAAATTACCACGCGTTTCATGGGATAACGTTAATCGATTTTTATTCCTCGAAAACGGAGAAACCTTTCTACTTAATCGACTTTGCGTTCGAAATGTTGTTTCCCTGGAACATCGTGGTAACTTTCATAGCACGGAACTGACAAAAAGATCGTTGACTCAGCAAATTCGACGACGGTGGTTCAAGCGCTTGCTCCTTTTCACCTCCGATCAATCGACTCTTCAAAATTGTTCTCTCGACCTAGAAAGACCGTTCTCGACAAAGTGTTAATATTCCTTCAGATTGGTCAACGCCGTGTACTTTATCGACCAACAAAGTCTCTTGAGTGGATCTCGTTTATCCTCTCAATAGGATGCAATTTTACGGAGGTCAACGTAAACTTGTATTTGTTTCGACCTATAGCGAATTAATTATTACTTCTTAAATAATCTCATTGATCGTAAAATAAGTTATGATCGTGATTGTCAGCACTTAACTCTTGAACGCGAAACACCTAGGGCAATAAACGAAGCCGATCAAAGTTTTAGTTCGCAAAATTCGTGAAATTGTTGCATGCCAACTACGATTCCTAGGTACGAATGAAAAATCGTTCAGTCGCTACGGTGGAAATCTCGATGCGACTTTCATGCTTACAAGAGCAAACGACACGAATAATAATTCGAAGATTACGACATTTGGTAAAAGTTGACTCGAACTCGAACATTGCTTCGAAAATGTTTAGTGTTTCCTTTGGTAACAGTGTCGTCAATAATTTATCGATCGATATTCCGCTACGCATTTCGGAGAATCGTACACCGCAACTAGCGACTAAAGCTCGCGAATCTTGTTTGACTTTAGTTCACCGTTGCGCGTGTTTCACGGAAAGTAAACGCACTTACCAGACACATAATGTTTATAAAGATAAACAAAGACGAGCAAAGAGATCATCTATGATTCCAGTAGTAAACGTACGAACGAAGAAACGAATGAATATGGAAGCGGCAAGAATCGAATAAAAAACCATGCGATTAAAAACAAAAAGATGTATAACGGTGCGTACATTGTATGCGTGCGCGTGTGTATGAATATACGAGCGACAGAATGGGGAAAAAGCGAGTGAGAGTGTGCGTGTGAGAGAGAGAGAGAGAGAGAGAGAGAGAGAGAGAGAGAGAGAGAGAGAGAGAGAGAGAGAGAGAGAGAGAGAGAGAGAGAGAGAGAGAGAGAGAGAGAGAGAGAGAGAGAGAGAGAGAGAGAGAGAGAGAGAGAGAGAGAGAGAGAGAGAGAGAGAGAGAGAGAGAGAGAGAGAGAGAGAGAGAGAGAGAGAGAGAGAGAGAGAGAGAGAGAGAGAGAGAGAGAGAGAGAGAGAGAGAGAGAGAGAGAGAGAGAGAGAGAGAGAGAGAGAGAGAGAGAGAGAGAGAGAGAGAGAGAGAGAGAGAGAGAGAGAGAGAGAGAGAGAGAGAGAGAGAGAGAGAGAGAGAGAGAGAGAGAGAGAGAGAGAGAGAGAGAGAGAGAGAGAGAGAGAGAGAGAGAGAGAGAGAGAGAGAGAGAGAGAGAGAGAGAGAGAGAGAGAGAGAGAGAGAGAGAGAGAGAGAGAGAGAGAGAGAGAGAGAGAGAGAGAGAGAGAGAGAGAGAGAGAGAGAGAGAGAGAGAGAGAGAGAGAGAGAGAGAGAGAGAGAGAGAGAGAGAGAGAGAGAGAGAGAGAGAGAGAGAGAGAGAGAGAGAGAGAGAGAGAGAGAGAGAGAGAGAGAGAGAGAGAGAGAGAGAGAGAGAGAGAGAGAGAGAGAGAGAGAGAGAGAGAGAGAGAGAGAGAGAGAGAGAGAGAGAGAGAGAGAGAGAGAGAGAGAGAGAGAGAGAGAGAGAGAGAGAGAGAGAGAGAGAGAGAGAGAGAGAGAGAGAGAGAGAGAGAGAGAGAGAGAGAGAGAGAGAGAGAGAGAGAGAGAGAGAGAGAGAGAGAGAGAGAGAGAGAGAGAGAGAGAGAGAGAGAGAGAGAGAGAGAGAGAGAGAGAGAGAGAGAGAGAGAGAGAGAGAGAGAGAGAGAGAGAGAGAGAGAGAGAGAGAGAGAGAGAGAGAGAGAGAGAGAGAGAGAGAGAGAGAGAGGTAGCTTGCAAAAGAGAAACATTAGAGTTCCGTCTTTGAGTGTTGGAGAATGTTCATTTGTAATTGTTTAAATCTAACGAGAAATGTACTGTAAAACTATAAGTACTATAGGCACTAAAAATATATCATTTGTTGACATGAAAAAATAAAAAAAGGACCCACTAATGTAAGTTCTCCCTGAGAAATTAGTACACGTAAATACAATTGAAGAGTTTGCGGGCAAATGCAAAACAGGCGCCAAATTGGAACAGTACCGTTTAGCGCTTTAGCTATAACGATAAAATAACTCTTCGAGTTTCATTGAATCCCCATAATATTTCATTTTATCAATTAGATATAAGTAATAAAATCAAGTACTCGATAATATCATTTAAAATTCTTGTCTATACATGTTTTGGATATTAAGCGCCGTAGTAGTCAACGCGTAAAACCGCGATTCTATACTTTTCAGACAAAATTTACGTCAATTAGATATCAAAGCATAACGAAGTATAATTATAATTCTTTCTCTTTCTTTTTATCAATGTAATCGTATTATTAGTCGGCATTATTTTATCAAACTGGAAAAAGTACGATTCAAGTTTGATTTTCGATCATGTCTGTTGCTCGCACAATGATCGAGAAAACCGGAAAATTATCATTGAGGTGAGTATACTAGATGTTAGTATTTTTGCTCGTCACGTAGTCGAATTTGACAATTTAATCGAAATTATTCTTCATGAAAGTAGTATACATTATAGACGACGTTAGGTAGGAGTTGAAACTAATACTGGCATCTCAATTAAATAACAAACGTCGTTCATATTTACATGAAAAATCTATTTATGTACAACAATAAGAATATAAAATTCGCGTAACTCTTTGCATTCATAAACATACCGAAATCCATCGTAGAAATGTTTTATGCGGTATCGATCACGTTAGTATTACACAACCGATCACCGAATACTAAAACAACGATTTCACATTCATTTAAGATTCCCAAACATACTCTTTCTCGAACATTTTCCAATCATCGCAAAATGGTTGTAGCGATAAATAACGCGTACAATCTGTAGCAATTTCGTGTCGAAAAGAAAAAAAAATAAATAACGACACATTAAACAAATTGTCTTTCCGAAATATCGCGTGATTATCGCTACAATCTCGCTGTAATTGCCGCTATTGGTGTTGATGTTGATGATGGTGTGGTTGCTGGAGTTGCTGCTGTTGCTGCTGTTGCTGTTGTTGCTGCTGCTGCGTCGTTTTGGCAAGAGTTTCCATTTTCAATTGATTTTCAGAAGGTGAGGGAGATTGCACCTGCTTTTTCTTTTCCTCCTCGTTTCCTTTCGTCACTGGAGGCGATAACGTGTTCAATAAACCTAACGCAAAACTTACTAGTTACACTTGTATCTCGATACTTCGTAATTCTTTTAAAATTAATGTTGACCTTCTAAAACGAATTATATGTCATATATTTGTTATGAAAACGGTAATCGGGTAAACGGTTATTAATTGAAAATTTGTTCAATTTAAATGTCGCCGAAGGAAAAAATGTAAGAGCGATACTACTTACCAACTGTTTCACCTTTAATGGGAGCTCCTGCAACGATAAAAGTGGATGACACTTTCGAAACAACAGGACAAATTTATCGATTCGGAAATGTGCTTACCATTCCCACGATACTTGTTTAACTGCTGATAGACCTGCTTCATTCTCTCGATGTTGATTCTCGAACTCTTGCTGTGATTTACCATTGGCAACGGGTAGTCCTTTCCAATAATACATTTCGCCGCTCGTTGAACGCTAAGCGGCGCGTTCCATGGTTCGTGAATGTATCTCGTAGGAAAATTTTTCAAAACTGGTAAATATCGCCTGATACAGGAACGAAAAAGACATAGTTATCTATTTTAAGGGAGCATTAAATTAGAAAATGTTTTAGATTCGAGAAAGGTAGAATTACCTGATGTAATCACCGTTTGGATCGGCTTTCCTACCAAATCTTATTGGACAGTAACAATGAAAAAACTGCTGGAAAAACGAACTACACGATAACCACATCCACATTCCTGCATTAACGGACCAATCAGCGTCCAACAAAAGTTCGTCGAATACCTGAAGAAACATTCGAATTGATTCGAATAAACCGAATCCCTAATGTCGAACACCCGATACCCCCACCGGCGGCAGTCGATACGTTAATATCTTATTAACGTTGCTCCTTAATCTATTTCGATGTCTATCGAAATGCCAATAGGCGACAGGTGACATTTTACCTTCATTCCTTCTTCCCAGGAGATCCAAAGGTCACCCCTGGTCAGGAAACAAGCGACAGCGTGTCTAGCCAAGTGATGGATCCAACCTTCTTCCCTTAGCTGAGTCATGATCGCATCGATCCATGGAAATCCCGTTTGACCCTGTTCGACGAATACCACGTTTATCCGTCGTCGTTTCTGACCCATCTCGAATAGTAATTTAAAAGCAACGGCAAAAGTTTACGCACGTTTGCCCATTTGGCCAACGCCTCGATGTTCTTGTCCCAAGGGATCTGCACGCAAATTGGATTTCCTTGCATTCGATCGAAGTTTGGATTGTTCGTAGCCGCGCAGTAAAAGAATTCGCGCCACAGAAGCTGACCGTGTAAAGAAAGTGGTGGTACAGCTTTCTTAATCTGAAAGAAACGTTCAGTTTTTAATTACGATCGGTTGATCGGTATTTAAAAAGGAATCTCGAAGCAGAAAGCATTGAACTATCGTATCAAGATTAATTCGGTAGGAATATTACGCGATTCGCTACTGGAAATGTCGTGCCTTTTTGTACAAATCGGTGAGCTGGTAATAGAAAAGTCTGGTGCTGAGACATCCGAATCGCAAGTAAGGCGAAAGACCCGTTTGACTGGGTAATAAAGATTGCGGGGTCATTTTCGGTCTTCCGAAACTGGCTACCCAAGCCTTCCTCTCTAAATGCCGTTCCAGCCGCGCTAACGCTTCGCTCTCGCCCCCAACCCATACGGGTGGTAATAATCCTTCTGTGTCGAATCCTGTTAACGATTTAAATAACATATTTTTTCTTCTCTTTCTACGTCGAAACGTACGAGACGACTCCAAACTTACTACTTTCTTACGATTAACGTTTACGATTTCCTTCGGCTAAAAAAGTATCAAGATTTACCGAGTTCCTCGAGCGTAGGAACACCATAATGGTCATCGTGATCTTCTTTCACTGGGGTGTAAGCGGATCCTACGCAGGCGAAAGTGACTGTCGGCACCGGTGGTTCCGGTACATCCATGCAGGCAACAACATTTTGAAACTGATGATACGTCAATGGCGGCTTTCCTCCGTTCTTCTCGATAATCCTACAATATCGATCATCGACGCGTCTTAAAAAAAACTAATAATCGTCTTCGAGTTTAAGCGGTACCTATATTTTATACTTGTTCGCGGAATTTTCAAACTTTTTCGACTCGTATCGATTGTTTGCTCATTGAATGCGGATAGACTATATAACGGAATCGATCGAAAAAAAGCAACAGACGAAAAATGTGAAAAAAGAAACGCGAACAAAATTGAATGGACTCACTCGTCCAACTTGTAGAGAGTATGCGAGACCTTTTGGACCACCGAGATACCGAGCTCCTTACAGAGTGCCGAGATATTATGATCTCGAACACGTCCAAATGGTTCTGGATCCTCCTCGAAAGTCAAGTTCGTCGTGCCCCATTCTTTAAACAATTTCGGTAAGGCATCGGCTGGTTGACCTCGTATCACGAACAGTCTGGAGTTCAGTTTCCTCAACGAACAATCGAGATCCTCCAAACATTGCAACAAGAACCTATGAAAAACAAATTTTTATTTGTTTATTTATTTATGTACATTATGTACATATAGATATATCTATGACGATCTAACGCGTCTCTATAGATCGCGTAATTAATAATCGTATAAATTAGCTCGAGCCCCATACTTGCCTCCATTTGTTAATGCCAACGTTGGTGCTTCCAGCGAACCATGGGTCCAAAACGAAGACGCACCGAAAGGTGGAGGCACCGGCGAGACCTTCCCTCAACGAAGGATTGTCGTGAAGTCTGAGACCTTTGCGAAACCAATGAACCGTATGTTTTCCACCGTCACCGTGTACCCTCACTTCCGGATCTATTTCGCTATTGCGACTGCCTGTCATTTTTCGCTTCTCTTTTCTCAATCTTCCACCACCCGTCTTTCACCGCTCCCTTATTTCCGATTTCGCTCGAAACCTTTCTTCGCTCAGTCTCTCCCCCGTTTTAAAATCCTTTCCTCTTACACTGTTTTATTTATACATATATCGTTTCTTGCTCTCGGAAACTCGACCTTCTTTCCCTCTCCACCGAAGGAGGGACAATACAGAAGATGCACCTCTCTTCTGATGATTCGGTAGATTGTTCTGCTCGAATCACCAAGTTGAACGAACAGTATCCTTTAGCCACGAAGTACCGTCATCCTGACGAATCGATTCTGCCGAGCGGAGAGCCGCTTTTTAGGTCATCAAGGTCGGCAGTGAGCTCGATCGATCTACTATTCTCTCGATTGAAACTTCTCGCTGTTTATGGAAAAGAAAAAACTCGTGTCTCTCGAGAATCGTCTGTCGTCGATTCATATCGCACCTGGCTACGTTCTCTTCGAGACGACTCCCCCCTATTGTTCAACCCTTTCTTCTCACGATTCTTCTTCGGACTCAACTACTATTACTCGCTTTCTTTTTCTTCCAACAAAATTTCTATAAGACTCTTTGAGCATCATAAACAACTGTCACGCGTCGACTAACAAGTAAAACAGTTCTATTAAAAAGTTCGAGAATTTAAATACCCATCGTGCTCGATACGTATCAAGCAGCGATACTCTTCGGGGATAGTTGTTAGCGAGAAAAGCATTTTAGTATACAGCTGTAATGCTATACACATATGTATTGTCGCGTAATCTACTGGTTTTGCCCCAATTCAAAAAATTCACAATTTTCGTAACCTGACACGAAGGAATTCAATTCGCCATTGAAAAATAACGAAAGAAAAGATTTTCGATAATCACCTTATCGCCTGTATCGCCTTAGACCTTAGGAGTTATCGGAACAAAAGTATAATTATAGAAACTCCTTCTATGCAACCTTCTTGATTGTCGTTGAAAATCCGTATAGAAAGAAATTCATCGCGGCCCATATAAGAGGGTGTCATGTAGCCAGATAGCATAGTAACGCGTTTCAGAGCTCTGCTTCCGCTCCGCCTTTTCAAGGTTAGGTCACCTGAGCTGTTGCCGGATGAACGTCTAGCAAATCCCGATGCGTTGAAAGCGGACGATAATGATCGCTTCTTATCACGCGTTAGTATATTACGCGACACTAAAAGCTACCTGAACGAATCGGATTATCGAATAAAAATCGCAATTACAATACGTTCGAATTCGAGAGAAAAAACAACTTCCCTCTCTTTCACTGATCACAATTTTCTAAGATCAATATAATCGACCGAGCGATCGTTTTCTACGCTTCTTTTCATTTTCTACTTTGTTAATACTCGTAACATCGAGAGGGCGTTATGTACGAGTGGCGTGAAATAGAACCACGCATCGACAATTTGACGTAGAGCAAACAAACCATGTCACTGCGATCTTTATTTCTGTCCAACTTCGTTAGCTACCAATTAATTTCAGGTCGATTCACGTAACTACCATTCATTCTCCGCTGTGCCCGAATATAGATGCGTGTTATATAATTATATAATTATAATACCTGTTCCTCGAGAAGCGAAGTTTCGTTTAACAACCGAGTTTCCATAGCACTCTTCAACGTACTTTAAACTTTTATGGAGCAACGTGCACTCTTTATGCGTTTATATGCAGAGATAAACCTGAATTATAACTATTTTCCTACCAATAAATCAACTTTTCTTTTACCGAGGAGTCGCATACGATTATCGAAAGAAAACAGCGGTCTTTGAATTTCCCGCCTGTATCAGCTGATGCAGCGTTTATTTAGCTGCGCCATCGAAATCGTAACTTGACAAAGCTGCTGCGAAAAAAGGTAGAAGATTTAATAACACGCCGAGTTCGATCGTAAGATCGAAGCTGTCTAACTTTCCCAATCGTCGCTTCCTTTCCCTAAATCTCGCTACACTTTTTTCTTTCTTCAGCTTTCAAACGACAAGCGTAAAACACGATTCGTGAAGTTTGCATCGCTTACCGCAAGCTTTCAGCTTCTTTACTTAACCTACTATCAACGCATGACCGGACCTGAACTGAAGGATAATTCTTTGCAACAATCATCGTCATTATCTGTATAGAAAACGTACAAATAACAAAATCGGTGAGTGTAGAAGAAAATCGTGTCAAACTGAAAGTATGTATCACCGGGAAGACATGGACTGTTTTTCAATTACAAGTTGGTTGGAAGTTATTAATCGATTGCCGACGAAAATAATTTCTACATATGTACATAAACTAAATTACATTCTATAGACCAATCAACAACGCAGCTTTTCAACATACCTGTTCTGCCATTTGCGATTATACGCGTGATCTACGTAATAAGCAATTATGACGTAAATCGATATTACAATACAACGTGAACGAACAGTAACACGTGTTTTAGTCCTTTTCTTTATTACATTACTGCGGCGTGTATTTTGCGATCCGATGAAAACTAACGATTAGATAGAACTACATAAAAGCTCGAGGAAATATTTCATTTGAAATCGATGCCTTCGGATATAATCGGTGCGCCCAAGAACAGTTCAGGTCAAAGATTGAGTCCCGATCTACTGCTGGGTCACGAGCTGAATTTGGACAGGTCGCGTTAAATATTGAAGCGTAAGCTTCTCTTTCTTTTAAAATTCGCATTACAAATGTGCGGATCGATAAAAGCGATCGTTTCCAAAACTGAAACTTTAGGACTTTGTGAATTTATCAAACTCTTTAATTCTGGACTTTTTAAATTTTGGAATTTTTCAAAACTGGGAAAATAACCCGCATCACGCAAACAAGTGAGTCGATCCTTAAAAGCCTTCAGTTATTTCACTGAAATAACATCGATAAACATTTTACACGATTATAAATAAAATAGTACGTAATTGTATCGTGTTAAATGGTGATAATAAACAGCGATCAATGTTTGAAAATTAACATAATAAACTTGACACGGTGACCCTCTGACATAATCGCTTTTCTTTCGATAGATCGTGACGTAACAGTTACTACTCTTCCTTTCGATCGTTATACTGTCGATAAAACAGAACGTTCGATAATTCCATTTGGAATGCGCCAAATAAAGTTTCTTTCTTCCAATTGTTCCATTTATCTATTCGTACATCTCTTTTAATGTATTCAATAACACGAGCGACGATATATTTTCAATTCTTTGATGATTCGATACGTGTAAGAGGAGTACATGTTTATACCGATTGAAAAAAACACGCAATATCGATAGAGTACGCATGTCATACACATGTAGTTTCCGGTATATCGATATCGTGAAAAATGCAAGATAGACGCGCATTCGGTTAATCCTATCGAACAAAGTCTGCGACAAAGAATACAGAAAGAATACTTTTCTACATCAGCGAACTTTAAAGAAAAAAAGAAAAGACAATTTCCTCGATGTCGTATTTATGTAGGTATACATAAATTTGCGCAAAACATTAGAAACTGGTGAAATTAATAAAATTTTAATCACGTAACTAGCCCCTAAATTTAACCGAAATTTGATCGTTGGGTTGAAAAACGGTTATAAGTTATCAAACGATCGGAACAGGGCACGTTGATCAGCCTAGACGCGTATTTGCTGTATCTAATACTTACAATGTTTCGTAAATACAAGCATTCTATATTCGAATGCGATAGCTGCTTCTTGCTAACTGTTCGATTTGCACTGATCAGCTTATCGCGATCTAAGAAAACAGCACACACTTTCCACTGAACGTTTCGCGAACGAGTTCCGCACTCCGATGTACTTGTTACGCAAAAATTACGGTACAGGTTGCATCGTAATGCACTATCCTCTTCCGTTGCGACGCGTCGCGGGAGTTTCGACTTATCTTCGAAAAGTCGTTAAAACGATAAACGAATAGTCAGAGGAACAGTTGTTCGCATATGCCAACATACAAGTTGAACAGAAGCATGGAGAAGGAAAGGCAATTCGCAAGAGCAAGGGGACACCGAGCCACGCCGAATGCAACGTGACCGCGTCCCCTCAAACCTTCCAATTGGCTAACTCGATCACGTGGTATCTTGGTCACGTTGCACTCGCCGTGGTCTATTCCTCTTTATGCGTCTCTCCCTTACACCGCTTATCGGTTCCGCGACTTTCACCCCTACTCTATTCGTGCAGCATTTTTTCTATTCGCACGTTCCCTTTTCAAAACGAACAGAGCTGTACCAAACTTTAAACCGTATAAAGAGACTTTTGCGAATAAATATATATATCTATCGAAACTAGACGACTCATGAAATATCTATTTTCAATAATATTCAATTTTCTTTCGGACTCCACAAGTCGGAAAAACTGTCTGCGTAGACTTATATTTGTTAAACGACTAAATAAAGAAATAAATAAATAACTCGACTCGAATCCATTTATGTTTCGAAGATTCCACTTGGTCTTTTAGAAGAGCGCATTACGAAATTCACATTTTCTAGTGAACGTAGGTGCACGGATCGTTCGTGGCACGAGTTGGAGTTACGTCGCGACCAACAACGGAGAACAGAGAAAGCGTTTCGTTCCATTATCATCAGCTATTTTACGTGATTAGTGTTACGAGTCATTTAAAGATGTCACGACTAATCTTTTACAATCGTACATATTTTCAATTATAAAGAATCCTAAACTTTCAAAATAATTAATGTCGCAGAAACTTGTGAGTTGGGTCTGTTCGCATTCTTTAAAAATCAAAAGTTAAACAAACCAGAAAAATAAGACACGAAATAATATTTAAAGAATTAGGAAGGTATGATGCTCGATCGTTTACTGCGTGAATTGTCGCGTATGCAACAGACTCATTTCATTTGGTGAATTTCGACCTAAGTAACGATTGTTCCGGCAAAACGTCAATTGTGTTTTAGTTTTTTTTTTATCCTTAACATCGTATAGAGAAGTTCGTGACAAATTGTAACTCGTTCAGTCTGTTATGTAAGTTTTAGAGTAGAATATTTACCTCTTTAATACCCTTGACCAAATTGTCGAGCGCGTACGCGTTAACATTTTTTTTTTTAAACAATATAGCGAATATGGATCTGTGATGTAACGCTGACTGAACATGAAACATATCGATCGCAAATTCGATTCTAAATACGAGAACGAACTAAACTTTCTTTCCGTTAAGAACGAATCGCGCATTACGAGTTTTTCACGATCAAGTTGCGGTCCAATCGTTACAAAACATACGTCACGGCAAAATGATTAACCGGACAAGCGAGATAGGATCGTTCAGCCACATAAGTACACGCTGTAGCGATAAATACTTTGTAGAACAGTTACACTCGTTTATTCGTTTATTCGTACATAAAACGTATCAGAACAGTTGATCAACGTGATTTTCACGTTACTTCCGATACATTTTTTATCCTCGCGGTAATCGTGCGTACTGCATATAAAAATGACTCTTTAAAATCCATACCGGTGCATCTTCGTTATCCATTAAATTTTATTTTGCCGCTTGTTCTTCATTTTCTTATTTAGACTATATAGCAGCTTGTTATTGTTTGATAATACATATTGTTCAACGACGCATCGTGTATAGTCGATCTATACGCAAATATTTCTTCTTTCTCTATACATTTTTTGTAAATCTTACAGCTAATTTTTGTTAATGTCATATGTATATATATATCTTTTTTGTATCTATAGTCGCATCGATACGAAGTGTTTAGGTTACAATTATATGATTCAATCGATTCGAATACTTTGTCGCGAATAATGTGAAATATTACAAATATACGTTCCATTTAAACGCATGTATCAATTATTTCTAATTGTAATTAGTATTTATATAAAAAAAGTGAAAGACTATCACTATTGACGGAGCAAGACAGATGTCTAACGAGCCACGAAATCTGACGGATGACCGTACTTATACATGTATATTACACATACATCCTGTAACGAAACACGTAACGTGTAATAACGATACACACACAACCGCACACTTGCATACGTACACCCAACGTAACCCAGAAATTTCTTTGAAATTTTGAACAATAAGAATAACTATTTATCGCGTCGTTGCCTAGATTTTCGTCATTCGTCAGAGATAATCTATACCCGGTCAATGCTATTAACTTGTTTCGCAACTATCAATGTATAATCTGTATTTATATAAATAACAATTAATAGACTACACATGTTCGCACTTGTCGTTTGAACAAAGTATAGTTTATGGCTGTGGCGTTTCCTTCTACTTTTTTATTATTTTTCTTGTATCGTTGATGAAAGTTGCAAATAACGAGACCGAAAAGTTGCCTCCGGATTAATCAGATTCACGTATAATTGTCTATGGAAACTTAAATATTCGAATATAATTTCGAGGAGAAATAGAAAACGATTAAACAAACAAACGGAACCAAAGAGAAAAGTAGTAGTCTAGTTAATAGTATCGCATATAGGGGGAAAATTCTGGGAAAATAGAAAATATTCTTATACCGGTACACGCGTGTATCTGAACAGTAGTATGTTCACGCTAAAATAGTCGTACCTTTTCATTGCTTTATCGTTTCGGATTTCTTTAAAACCAATAGAATAAAGTATGTTTACATGGGTTTTTAACTGGCAATATTATTGTTTTGTTATGGCAATAAAAGAAATAAAAGAAATAAAAGAAATACGCGTATTTCGATTCTAATCGCGTATCGTCTCATTAAATTTTTATAGATTAAATTACACGTTTCCTGTGTAACATAAGATTATACGTTAGTTCTAAATACATACTCTGTACAATATATGTTACTTTATAAACATATCTATTATTATAATTTGTATCTGTTTCAGCTGCAAAGATACTGCTATTTAGATACAAGCCCGTATCAATCTTGATAGAAAAGTACCTTTGCGGTGCTTCGAAATCAGGCAATACTATCATTAATTAGGAATGAATTATTTTTTACAGTGAATTCTTTTTTATGGACGATCATGTATGTTAGACTGCTGAATACTGTGATGTTATCAGAAAATAAAACGAAAATGTAGAATATTTTGGATGACAGTGAACCGTAAAACAAAACTGACAATAAACATTCAAGCGAGGTACATACTACATACATATTTCTCAAATCTTTGCGCGAATAGATTTGAATTCTGTATTTTTCCGTTTTCGCATACTTAATAGAATAAATATAAGCAAAATTTCAAGTATGATAGGTCCATGATGCGAGGCTGTTCTATAAAAATATATATACTTGTTTGTAATGTTCGATTAGAAACTCGTGTTTCGAGTTTCTAAGGATGCGCTTACCGCGCGCCAAAACGAACGGATGCTCGTTTGTCTCCTACCTCGGCGAGATTCAAGCACGAACAAACATTCCTTGTTTCTTTTCTTTTGCTTGTTTTTAGGGTAAACGCACCTTAAGATTAAATAGAAAGTAGGCTCGGCTAATTTTCTATCGATATTCCTCCTCTAATGCATGATAAAGCTTGCAGCCTTTGAATAATCTATAATTTTCAAATTTGTCTGATTGAAATATAGTAACTACGCTTACTATAAATAGTATTAAATTGAAAAAAAAAAACTTATTATAAAATTCATTTTTTTTTACTCCCTTTCTGTTTATAATTCGCATAGCGTTAAGTTATACTAAAGTTACCCTATTTTTTTTCATAAAGGAAAAAAGTGGTAGACCAAAGCGATACTAATCCGTCGATAATTATTTTTCGGTCCGATGAAATTGCTTCAATCATAGACGTATATCTCATAGGAGACGCGTTAGGAAAGCACTACTGTGTTTTTCAAATCGTATTTAAACATAGTATCTTTTTAAAGCTATAATTTTTAATCTCAGGAATTATATGCATATCAGTCAAATCTGTCTTCCACTAATTACCACACGATCAAAAAAGACTAAAACGATCAAAGTGTTTAAGAAAAATTTGTTCATCGCGGCGGCTTTATACCATACGCGTGTGTTAATTGCTAACGTCGAGTGTAAATAAAAAAATATTACAATACACGATTATACGGGGTGTTAAGAAGACATCGGATTTGCTTAGTTCAGCCCGATACAGGATGAACATTTATGAAAAAAGGTTTAGTACAGTAGAATCTTTTAATGTGCCGTATAGATTCGACGCAATCAACGTTTGAAAATTAATGTATTTAGCCAATTATCGCGGAGATCTTTTTTCCTTAGATTTTCATACTTTATCGGATGGTAGTAACCAAATCCAATATGCCTAAAACCCTGTATATATATATATTCCGTGAAATCTCTACGTAAATGTACTGAAATTTTTCTTTGTTCTTCTTCTTCTTCTTACGATCGCACTATTATATCCCAGGTACGCATTTCAAGCCACGTAAACAATTCGATCGAGATAGATAAAATATTATACAGGATGAAATTCAAACCTTTCATTTACAATTTATAGGAACATCCATTTGGAAGGTTCACAGTTCACACGCAGTCGTTCAGCTTAGACATTTTTATTTTACACGCTTCGGAGGCCTACCACGTTTCTTGGCTTCAGTGTTCACTGTATGATCGAGAATCAACGGTTTGGCAGTATGCGAATTAATTGCTTTTTGTACATTTCTCCCGGCATCAATTTTATACAAATCTAATTCGACCGTTTCGCTTTCGATCGCTTTTCTAGATCGTCTAGTTCGACCAGCTATTCTTTCCATTTCGTCGAACTTTGCTTGCAATCTCAGTGCCAGTTCGAAATCTTCTTTCTCTTGTATGACTAACCTTTCCATTCTTTCCTGTTCTTTAACAATATCTTCGTCCGAAAGAATATTTTTCTCTTCGATCGTACGCGTTTCGGTAGTATTATTATTTTCCGACATGCATTCGTGCAGTTCGCTGCAGGATTCGGACGAATCGTAATTGTTACTGTCCATATTCTCGTCGCTTATGTCGTGTTCGCTATTGATGGAATTATCGGTTTTCGCTTTTCGCGTTGTTTTCCTTAAACTGAAATTATTGATCTGGCAACTTAATCTTAAGGAGCCATCGCTTTTCTCAAAACTTTCTGTACTAGACTGCTTTCCTCGTCGTGCTGCTCTTTGTTGTTTCGATTTCGGCAAAGCAGTTTTAGAATGTTTAGTTTTACTTCGTTTTTGTATCGTAACAGAAACCGTATCGTCCGTTACGTTACATTCAAGATTCGGTTTTCTATATAATCTCTTTCTCGTATTCTTTTTCACTATTGCTTCTGACTCGGAATTTAATAAACACATGCTATTCGAATTCTTCTTATCTGTATTTGTTTTCCTTTTTTTTATTCTCTCCGCAATATTTTCTACTGTCATCTCGCCCTCTCTTTGTACTTCGATTTCTTCGTCGTGCGATGAACTTATTTTTACGGACATAGACGAAGACGTTGAATTTCTCATCTCGATATCGTCTACGTATTTCATAGCCGTAACAATTCGTACGTCTTTCTTAATCCATAAATTTTTCTGTCGTTTAGATTTACACACCATACCGTTCCTAATATGTGATTTCCAAGATTTTTCCACCTTTTTTGCATCTCTATTCTCTTCCGATATTAACTTTTTACCAACTTTTGTGCCATTAATTATTTTATTCGTACCTTTAGTATAATTTTTATCAGAATCAAACGAAGCTTCTGAAGCGAAATCAAGTTTTCGAATACTATCGTGAATCTGAGATTTTACTATTTTATTAGAAATAATTGGAGACTGATTATAAGATGTTGATGGTTTCTGTTCAACCTCCTCTCTGTACAGTTCTTTCTCTTTTGCGCTCTGTTTGGTTTTGCCTGCAATAAATAAAAGTTTTGTACATTTTCCATTTTATTCTGCATTTTATAAAATTAACTTACCTCGAAATGCGCTCCAAGAGCACCCAATAATTCGTTTCAAATGTGACTGACATGGTGGCTTAGGCATAACATTAGATATCCTTTTAAAGATAGGTATAACTCTAATTAATTTTGGATCTATTTGTCTTCCATCTGTAATATAATATTCTATAATTACATAAATAATATCAGGCATTCAAATACAAAAATTACATAAAATATAGAGCTTACTCAACCTGTAGAAATTTTTAACGGTGTTCTTGGCATAGCCTTGATCGGCTTAAAATGATGAATTTCTTGATTAATACTATCATGGCTACCGGCACTTTCTGCACTTCCCATTCTTTCATCGTCGTCTCCCGAAGATATACATACTTCCACCCCTAAGCTTTTCTTTTTACTATTTACAATATCATCTGGTACATGTAACTCCTCTTTACTTTGAGTGCCATATATTTTGGAGGAAGATGTTCCACTTTCTGTAGGATAGTTGGATGTACAAGATTCTATAACTTTTGTTGTTGCTTGGTGTTTCAAAGTTCTTGCGATAGCATTATATATAGGCATTGGTTTCTGACAACAAAATTTAGTCCCAGAATCATTACACGTATTAGAAGAATCATTATTTTTCATACTAGAAGCATATCTTTCGGCACGAATTTTAGATATTAATGCGATATTTGATCTCCTTAGTCCAGAATTATCTGGAGGTTCTAAAACAATTTCTTTATCGTACTTGGAACTATGAGGTTCCGTTTTACACAAATTCATTTCGGTCATAGTAGAAACATTAAACTTTGAGGTATGAAACAAGTTACTAGCTGCGCGAGGATAAGTATTACAATATTTAGATGCTTCTTTTTGCTTTTCTGCAATTTGCTTTTTGACTAAAGACTTTGCAAGTAACTGATCTTGAGTCAATTGCACTAATTGTTGCTGTTGTTCTTCTTCTTGAATCTTACGAATTAAAGCTTCGCTTGCTATCTGTTCAGCTTTTCTTTGACACTGTATTTCTTCTTCTGCCATTTGAAGTTGCACTTCATATTCCCGGCGAATTTCTCCGGGTACGCTAAGTGTTTTATTAACGCTAGTAAAGTCTGTACAAAAGAAAAATAATCTTAATTTTTTTTTCCGGTAATAAAAATATTTCTAACGAATAAAAAAGATAACAAAATTTATAATCGAATATTAAAACAAATGGTATTAGCAATAATTAAAATAAAAATGCATGTAAATAACTAATAATTAAGATAAAGTGAACATTGTAATATATAAGCAAGCACAGACACAAATATGGGTAACAAAGAAAAAATTATATTTTTTTAAGTCGCTTCAACATCATGTTCTTTGAAATATTGTGTTTTGCCTCAATTTGTGACTGTACATTTTCATTAACTGATTTGCATAAACAAACGCGGTTTTTGTCTCTGTATTTGTATTCTTGTTTTTTAAAGAGGTTATGTTACGTTTGTTTACTTGCTTGTAAGAAACTTACCAACATCCAAGTCGATGTTTGTGTCGTCGCCGTTAAATTTATTCTCAACCTCTTTTGAAAATTTCGTACGAATTAATTCCCATAAACCATTATTAACTAATGTTTCGGTTTTCGTTGCAGTACGCAGCCAAGAACCGACTCGTATTCTACAGAGTGGACAGCTCAAACTATTATGTTCAAAAGTACCTTTCAAACATTTTAAACAAAGATTATGAGTACACGGCAATGTCACTGGTTCGATCAAGATACTACGACACACAGGACATATTAAATCTCGAAGAGAAATGTCCACTGATGATTGTAATAAAGAAATATTAAACAATTTTGACGTTCGCTTTAAACATGTCGCCATCTTGCCATATTCCTTAAAGAAGCATAACAGCTACTATACCGCTACGAGTACATACCGTGGTTCTCTTACTTTAATGGAACGATCGGACACTAATCTGACTCGCTATATCTCACATATATTTTATTCCACAACCGAATAGCCATCCCAGATGACGCGTTTGCGTCCTTCTTGCGCATGTAAACTGAGTTCAGTTCTATACTTTCTATAGTCCATGGTAACATGAATGCACCCTTCTAACTAGTGATCAATTTTATAACTACATATTGACTGATGCGTACTATGTTGCCAATGCAGTGCAGATTTGTCTAGTATTTTTTGTGGAATAAATATTATATTAAATATAATTTCTAGCTATACTGTTTTAAAATTGAAAAATTGTTTTAACGTATCATCGTTTCTTAATAATGCGACATATAAATGTAGCTTTATTTTGAATATATATTTGTACAATTTTTGCTTTTAGAAAATTGGTTACACTGGAAATGAATAATCGATATCGTAACGGTAATGCCCTAAATTGTATCGAAAAGGTGACTCATAACGAAATTGAACAAGTCTGTTTAAGTACTTAAAAATCGATCAATACTCGAGAAGGAAATATTATCTGTTGGTATATATAGAAATTCATACTGTTATTCAACCTCTATATAGTATTGAATTAATTATTCTTTTGTGTACTAAATAACGACAGAGCAAGATGGGAAGAAAAGGTATTTGACAATTTTCGTAATTAACGTACATTATTATTATAAACGTATTAAAAAATAAGTTTAACAAAATTTCATTTGTGTATTAGTAAATTAAATTTAAAAGTAAATTTGTATTTGGTATGTAGGAAAAAAGAAGTCTCAAGAGCAACCTGAAAGCTCACAGAAACAAGAGCCATCTGTTTCGCAGCAACAACAGCGACCACGATCTGTACCTCAACAGCAACAGCCACCTGCTCCACAGCAGCAACAGCCATCTGTTTGGCAGCAACAACAGCAACCACGATCTGTACCTCAACAGCAACAGCCACCTGCTCCACAGCAGCAACAGCCATCTGTTTGGCAGCAACAACAGCAACCACGATCTGTACCTCAACAGCAACAGCCACCTGCTCCACAGCAGCAACAACAGCCACCACGATCTATATCTCAACAGCAACAGCCACCACAATCTATACCTCAACAACAGCAACCACCACCTTCACAGCAACAACCGCAACCACGATCTGGACCTAGACAGCAACGAAAGCGATCACAAGCACCGCAGCAACAACATCAACCACCAACTGCACTTGAACAACAGCGATCATCTGTTCCACAGCAACAACAGCGACCACCTGTTCCACAGCAACTCCCAGCTCCACAGGAACAACAGGGACCACCAGCTGGACATCAACTACAACGACCACCAGCTTCGCAACAACAGCAGCGATCACCAACTGCACATCAACAACAGCAACCACCGGCTCCACAGGTGCAACAAATACAACAAGTTTCAAAACAGTTGCAGGTGTGATTTGTATATCAAAACAAGGTATCTTTGTTTTAAGGACATATGTTATCAGTGATGGTACAAGCATAGATTTAATTAATTTGGTGTTTCTGTAAATCATGATATTTTTTTAATTTCACTTTTATTTTTACTAGGAAACTGCAGTTAGTGTAAGAACGGGCAATGGAAAATCTAAAATATCAAGTTCTTTACTTAGTTCGTATATAAGTCAAATTCCACATAGAAAAACTGGTGGAACACAGGGCAGAAAAATTCAAGTGGAAACAAATATGTTTAAAATCATATTTAAATCTAATTTTCAAACAAACGTTATACATTATGATGTTGTCATTACACCAGACAAACCAAAGTTTTTAATGAGAACAATTTTTGAACAGTATAGAAAAAAACACTTTCCTAATAGGTATCCAGCATTTGATGGAAAGAAAAATGCATATAGTGCAAATAAACTTCCTTTTGGTGATGAAAGTGTAAGTGTTCAATTAATACTCACAATTCTTAGTACATGGAATACGTAATATTAAGTAGTAGCATGAAACTTAGGATTAGTTCTAAATTTATGTATTATTTAACTGAGATTCCTAATAGTTGCATAATTTAGTACATTTTATATTATAGATAGAAGATGTAATAACAATTGTAGATCCTGAACGGCAACAAGAACGTACTTGGAAAGTATACATGAAAAAGGCTGCAACCCTCGACTTATCATGGTTGAAAAATCTAAGTAATTTTGTTGAAGACGAAAGGGAGATGAAATGCGTACAAGCATTAGATATTATTTTTCGTCATGGTCCTGCGTATCAATTTACCCCGGTAAATTATGTAATTTATAATATTTAATTTTTCAGGAATTATCTTTAAATTTACTTCGTTTAGTTAAACTGTTAATCTATTTACTAATTTACTGTAATCATTATATTATGTTGAAATAAATATAGTGTCATTTAAATAGGTGGGCAGATCACTTTTTAAACAGCCAGAACCAGGTAGAGTTGTATCTTTGTCAGGTGGTTTGGATCTGTGGGTTGGAGTATTTCAATCTGTAGCAATTGGAAGAAAAGCTTATTTAAACATTGATGGTACTCTTGTGATATATTTATTTGTACAATTATATCAATTATTATATTATAACAATTATGTTATATGATTCACTTAATATGATTTATGTGTAGTGGCACATAAAGGATTTCCTAAGGACCAGTCTGTTATTGATTTAATGAAAGAATTGTGTAAACATCCGAGAGCTACTGCACCTCCTGAAACGCTACAATATCAAGATGTCGATAGGAAACGCGACGATATAAATAAATTTTTGAAAGGATTAAAAGTACAGTATGAATTGCCTGGACAGCCAACATCCAAAAGAACTTATCGTGTAAATGAACTAGTAGAATGCCCAAGAAGGAACAAATTTCGGTTGGAAAATAATACGATGTGTACAGTAGAACAATATTTTTTACAAAAAAATTATAGAATTCGGTTTCCCGAACTACCGTGTATTTGGGTAGGATCCCGAAACAGTAATATTCACCTACCTGTGGAGGTATGCTAATACATTTTGTGATCTCAAGTTATTATTATAAAAATAGCCATTAATTTTCTTTAATTATTTCAGTTATGTACAATCGTGGCTGGACAAGTGACGCAAAAAAAATTGAACGAAGATCAAACTACGAATTTGATTCGATATGCTGCAACTGATACTCGAAGACGTAAAGAAAAAATTATGAACGGTGTAAGAATTTTTTGTACTTAAACGTTTAAAAAATGATACTTTTAACTTTAGTACGATATTAAAATGTTCACAGTTTGCTAATTTGAAATTGAATGAACAACCAACTTTAATGAACGAATTTCAACTTTCTGTACAAGGAGAATTTGAAAAAGTACCGGCTAGAATTCTGCAAGCTCCTGCGTTACAATATAAGCAAAGAGAAGTTAACGTAGTTAAAGGAGTATGGCGAGCGGAGAAATTTTATATGCCGTGTAATTTGCCAGATCATTCATGGACCATTTTGAATTTGGATTCAAGAACGATAGATCGAGATTTATATAATTTACAAACTAGCCTACAAGAAGGCGGTTAGTACGTTATTATAGGATTATTATATAATATAATAACGTATTATATGATATGAGATATTTAATTTTATGCATTAAATGTGATTTTAATATTTACTGATTCTTCTCTTGTTGGTTTTTCTTTTAGCTATATCTGTCAGTATGACGATTGGTAAGCCTTTAACTCCATTTGGAAATTTAGGGATACAAAGAAATATTAACAACATTATGGAATACTTTCAACAGAAAAAGAAACAAGATTTGAAATTAGTGGTAGTGGTAATTCCAGCATTAGATCACGCATACAGTACGTAATGTATTAATAATTTCCATAACATTATGGAAACATTCTAATAAATTTCATAATAATTTAAGGTTTGGTTAAACAAATTTCTGAATTGAAAGTAAGTGGTGGAATTGTGACTCAATGTTTAAAAAGTAGAACTTTAACAAGGCTGAGTGCTTCGACAGTTACAAATATTTTATTAAAGATAAATTCAAAACTTAATGGTATTAATCATACACTTGCTGTTCCTTATCGGTAATATTACATTATTTTAATAAATATTTTATATTTACTTAAGGATTTACTTATATATACTAATAAGAATGTTATTTTCTTCTAGACCACCCTGCTTGAAAGTGCCATGTATGTTAATTGGTGCGGACGTTACGCATCCCTCACCCGATGCTGTAGACATACCTTCGATTGCTGCTGTAGGAAATATCTTTAATTTTCATTTTGTACAATTTCGAATTTTTTGTTTATCATGAGCATTCAAGAATTAATATTATTTCAATGTAGGTTGCTGCAAGTCACGATCCAAATGCTTTTCAATATAATATAGAATTAAGACTTCAATCACCGAGAGAAGAAATGATTCAAAATTTGGAAGAAATTATACGTTTGCAATTAATATATTTTTATAAAAAAACAGGTTACAAGCCTAGAAAAATTATTTTTTATCGGTAAAGACTGTTTAATGGATAATTTTACTGCGTGAAAGAAAATATATTTAACTATCCAAAATCAATCTAACAAACGTTTTTATTTGATATATTTGTAGAGATGGTGTAAGCGATGGACAGCTTGCTCAAGTGATGCATTACGAATTATCTGCAATGAGAAGAGCTATTGCAAAGTTAGAAGGATCTACTACACATACAATTCCCATCACATTTCTTGTAGTTCAGAAGAGGCATCATATCCGTCTGTTTCCAACCGATAACAATTGTGATCAGAAGAATTTTAACGTATTAGCAGGCACCATCGTTGACACAGAAATTACACATCCTACGCACATAGATTTTTATCTTGTATCGCATGCTAGTATTCAGGTACGTTCCGTTCACATCAAGACGTATTAGATTTTCCTTGGCCAAGGCTCATATTCGAAAATTGAAATTTTTTGCGACCTACTCATTTGCAATATATTATTTTTCGTCGTCTAAAAAGTCACAAAGGTTCCAAATTCCAAAATCCAGTATATAAGTGTTTAAGAATCAACTGATAAACCTGAGCAATTTTTGCATAATAGGGAACTGCTAGACCTACGAAGTACAGATGTATATGCAATGAGAATGAATTATCAGAGGACGAAATTGAACAGCTAACATACTATCTTTGTCATATGTTTGCACGATGTACAAGATCTGTTAGTTATCCAGCTCCTACATATTATGCTCATTTGGCAGCATTCAGGGCCAGAGCATTGATACGCAAGTAAGAGATACATCTTATTATCACTGTTTCTTTATTATATGTACCGATAATTTATATATTTCTTTTACACAGTGTTCCTTTAAATATAAATAACTTGGAAGAAGAACAACGACTTAACATGAACTTACAGATGAATGCAAATTCTCCTATGTTTTTTGTGTAAACATCATATATATAATCCGTTTATTATTAATTATATTCAACCTGTAATCCTTAGTACATTAAGTATGTTATATTCTAAGCATTGTGTATGATTTATGAAAATATAATTATGCTTGTTCTTTTTATCGTAATTGTCAGTATCCCCTTACTTTTCTCGTATATAAAAACAAACATACAAACTTAGGAATGAAATTTCTGCTTATAATATCGATAATCTTTAATAGGTCTTTGGCGAATATAAATCTTTAAAAATTTTCATATGCATATTTAATTAATCTTTTATTTAAAATTAAAGTAAAATTTAAAAAGTATAGAGTTTTACCGTAAAATTTGCCATGCTGCTATTGAATAAATGATCTAAACTCTACACGTTTAGAATTTGAAAGAAGCATCGAGTTGTCGCAGTAATCGATTCTTCTTAAACGTGAAGTATATGACTAATATGGCGCGTTCTGTTCAGTGTCGGTACTTTGTTAGCACATAATTTCGTTAAATAACTTAAATTACACCAGTGATACAAATAATAAGTAATCTTTAAATTGCAAAAAATATTTTTTTCAACAAATTATTTTTACTTTATGTTTGTGTATTTGTGAATCCTGCGTAGTAGCATAAATATGTAAACATAAATTTAGTTCATCGATAAACGATATACTTTCTCCGCTTTCTGTTCATTCGTGTAGTTGCTGGTGAAACGTTTACTCGTGGTAATAGTGATTAATTATATAAATAATTAATGTTTATCGAGTGTTTTTAGAAATTTCGAAGAAAATAAAAGTATCATACAATCAAAATACATGAAAATACATCGACAATAAGGTACGTTAACGTAAGCCTAGTTAAAGTTTTTCTACAGCGAATACTATACATGTTTATATTTTATATAGTTTCTTTTTTTCCGCAATACAGTTTAAATATTTTATTAGGTATATATGTATTTTTTATGTTCGAAGTGACTAAAATATAAATTTTTATAACAATATAAATACTTCAATAGAGATTCAACGTTTACCGGTAACGTTGATACGTTAATATTAATAAGACATTTAATGCCTGAAACAACAAATATGTATATTTTTTATACAAAAATACACACACGAATACGAGAGGTCATTGCACGCTGTTGTACGCAAATGGTCTTTTCCTGTTGATATAGCAAGTACTGACAAGGATGTGTCATGTTACGATATCTAGTACTTGATGCGATTCTCATTCGATGCTCACGTCGTGGCATAAGAAATTTTATATTTCCGAAAATCATCATTTAACGTTATTGGGATTCGATAAAAGATTTGTTATTCTGATAAAGTATTATTACTAATTTCAGCATGCATTTTCAAATTGAAAACGTCGCGTGTATAAACGATAATTTTAGTATTATAATTATCTGTTTAAAATAAGAGGCGCCACTAGAGTTTACAGAACCGGTGGCAAAAGTCCCTACGTAATAAAACAACATTTTTCGAAATTTTTTTTATTCGTCGCACTTTCGAATGCAGTCATTTTACGTGACCCGTTTACTAGTAATATATTACTTGAAAAAATCCGAAAATTAAAAAATTTCATTGAACTTTTAAAATCTAAAATTCTAAAAGTTCTATTCCAAGATTCCAAAGTTCCGAAATTCTAATGTTCTACAGTTTCACAAAATTTCAAACTGTGAAATTAATTTATTTAATTTTTCGAAAATACAGAAAACCGGCAGTACGAGGTCGCGAGTAATTGTCCCGTTTGTCCGTCACTAACGTCGATTCTGTTAAAAATACTTAAGACTTTTTAAGAATACAGTAAAAAGATCGATATTAATATATCATTACTTTTACACATCATCATATTTCCATTCATAGAATTTACCGGTTCAATGAGGTTTCTAGGGCATGTACAGTGCAAAAGATGATTTAAAGATAACATATCTTATAGACAAAATCTAATTCAGATGCGCTTTGGGCTGTGATTTCGATGCAATAAAAACGAGTGGTTTCAAAGTTCAATGTAATTGTATATACTAGTAGTTGTTTTTAGACATTTTTTTTACGTGGAAGCAGTATATTGAATAAGGTGATCAATTTTCTTCTAAAGCAAACTTTTTATCCTTTCGCTACCTTACATATTGTCTTATCCCTTTTCTCTTTCTTTCGCTACTTATCGCATTTTCCATCTTCTCTTATCTTTCATAAAGTTATCCTTTCTCTTTCACCTCCTTGCATCTCTTTCTTTCACCCCCTTCTATTTTCTTTTCCCCTCTCGACGCAAAGCTCCTCTATCTCTGTTCAATTCTGTCTCCGTTTTCGCGACTGGCTTCACGTGACCGAAACGGTCTATTGATTCTTGGAGTCGGTGCATGCGCCCTCGTCCTCGTAATATCTACTGGGAAAGGGGTATGTGGCGTTGCTCGAGTTCCGTTCGGCAACGCTACGGATACAAAGGGGGCTGTCAAAGTAGAATCGAAGGGGTAAACGAGGGGAAGAATTCTGAAAGGGGAGGTTCGAAAGAGTCACGCTAGTGAAAACTCAGTATCGCTTCGTGTGGCGCTAGTGCACAGTCCTTGTCTGTTCGTTATGATTTTCGTACTTCTCTTCAGGTACTTATGTCCACTTTATTTTTCTTTATCGCGAGCCGAATTATGTAAACTAGTTTGAAATTTTACTATGTAAAATTAGTTGGAAAATCTGAAGAAACAACTGGTCGTCGGACCATAGGAAATATTAGAATAGTAAAACGTATAAATAATACATGTATCGAAAGTTGGTTTTGTTTACTCACGATTGCGACAATCTTTTCTATTCACCTGTGCAGGAGTCTACTCTATCGGGTGACACATTAGTCGATCTAACACGCGGGTTGACACGATATTTCAACGAGTTTTTCGATTTGTGCAGAAACATTGCGAGAAGCGAAATACATCTATAATATGTATACATATACGTATCCAGGAGTTAACACCGACCGAATTGCGTCACATTGCTGTCATCCCCTTTGTTGTTATTTTCCGTCGTCTTCGATTTTGACCAAAAGTAAACAACTATATGGAATGGGCGACGCACGAGACACTCGTGTTTATTTAAAGTGAAATTTTTCTTTCGTCAATCGCGATGCCATGCTCGTGAGTAGAAAATCGAGTGCTCGTTTCATCATACGCGTAATATACGATCACTTGTGAGATCAATGATTCGCATCGCGAGCTTTTAACGATAAGGGTTGATGAGCGAATTACTTTCTGTGACCAATGTCCTAATTACACGTACTGGATCGTTAAATTTTTCGAAATTTCTTGCACATCCGCTTAAGCGCAGTCGTTAAAAATTGATCATGTCTCTAAAGCTGTAGAGACACGTTTACTTACGTGCAAAATCAATTGTGTTTACCGTAAAAAGAGTAAAATTTTTCAACGATCGAATATCTATTTGTTCACGTGGTTCAGCGTCGAAGAATGTTCTGGAGCAGAAAACGTGCGCGTTTGTTACTGTTGCCTGACAACAGCGAGCAGTTCCGATTTTCGCCAAATCGATTTCGACTGAACGAGAGTGTGTGAAATGTTCGGAGCGATAAATCGAAATCGTTTCCCATACGATATTGTTGCTAAAGTGTTACACCTACTTAATACATGTACGAATACAGTGTATCGATAACTTTATTGTTTTTCAGAATAAATAATTTTCTTCGGAAGTTCAAGTGCGAAAGTGTTTGAAAAGAAATTTTGCAATAAAATCGTGATATTTGCTCAGATATTTCGAACTGTACAAAATGGTTGCATCTTTAAGCGATAACATTTGTTTTCGATATACAAGGTTGTCTGCCCAGAAAAAATTGGATGAGTCAATGTTGCGATCTTTCTCCTAGCTAGAAGAAACCATTCACTGACGACGCTTATCGCTTACGAGTTTTTCTTTTTACATAACTTAGAACGCACGAAAGGTATTGTGTGTACGATACGACGTGTTAAAATAAGCACAGTTTAACACATAAGAAAATATTTCACTACTTCTCTGAATTGAATTCTTCGAGAATTTTTTTATTATAAACTTTGTAACATATTTTCTTTTTCTTTATATCTGTATTTTTCTAAATGTATTTACGATCTTCCAGCGGGCAGGGTTAGTTAACGTGGCGTAATATTTGAAAATGGTAGAAAAGCGATTTATATTACTTCGAAGGTAAACGACTCGATTGAAGCATTATATGGAAAAGTAAATGTTTTTGGTAACGTTAACTATGACTGTTCTAACGGTAAGAGTAAACTTGTTAGAGCTTCGTTTCTGCATAATTGATCGTGTTTGATTCCAGAAGGCAGTCGGTGTTGCGGTAGAAAGACTCGAGGAGGAAGAAACGTGGACCATGCCAGGACAAGGAGCAAAGTGGTGACCTAAAACTCATCCTCGGCTCCGACCCTCGATGCTCACGCTACGGCTGGTGTCGACTCATTTCTTGAAGCAGCCATAGGCAGTGCCCTTCGCCTTAGAGAAAGGGCTCGATGCGATGTGCCGTGATAGGGACATGAACCCAAAACTAATCGAGTCAAACGATCTCTGTTTAACGTCGTATCGGTTCTCAAGATCGGCTTAAAGGCTTCCAAGTTTCGACGAGTTAACACGCGACCGTACCTAAGCGACGAAGGACCTTTTTCTTCGCCGGATCTGCCTGTGTTCATCTTCAATTTCATATTTTGATCCTTGTATTTTGTTCTTTATCTTGTACACCTGTGATTCCAATATTTACCCCACATCGTCGTTCCTTGCTCGCTACTCGCGCGCGCACGAGACGACGAACAACGAAAGTGAACGCGAGGAAGTTTCTTATGCCAGTTCGATCCACGAGAAGATCCGAACGGACGATCCGTTTTCAATTCGTGGACATTTGTTTCTCTCTTCTTCGTAACGACGATAGAAAAGTGTGCCGTAACAAAGTAGAGACTTTCATTCATCGATCGAAATTAACGCGACGAGCGGAACGAAAGAACAGACGGATTAAAAGGAAGGTGTAGCTTCGAAGTAACTTCCAGACTGTACTCCATTTATTTCAATCTGTGGAGGGTCGCGAGGGAGTGCATTGTAAGTCTTTGCCTTTCTCTAACGATTGCTTTCAACAATTTCGATAAACGTTCGCGACTGGACAATGGGTTTGGATTTAGATTCGGATCGATCGTTCGTTCGATACGCATGCTTTATTTGCGCCAGTTATCGAAGAAAGAAACTTACCTGTCGTTCCATCCTATATTGTGAAATTTTATCGATCGAGGCGCTCTCAAAGGTGTATTCGATCGTAATATCCATTGTCCGATCGAGGTACGAATTATTCTTCAAAGGTAGATTTAACTATAGCACGTAAGCAGATATAACCGAGAAACGTATTGTTTTATAGCGTAAAAATTGTTAATCCGCGAAGGTAGAGCTTGCTCGTTTCATAATCTGTTTCTAACGGGGATAGAAAAAGACCGGTGTTTGTGAATTTAATCGTCAGTGCGGCGACGGCGGCGATTCACGGTGTAGGCAAAGTGGGATGAGACGTCCTCAGCAGGAACATCACTACCATCTCCACAACAATCACCATAATAATCATCATCATCATCACCACCACCACCACCACCATCATCACCACCATCATCATGGATCTTCGACGAGCCCAACGCGTACGCGACAACTTCACGACAAGGTAATTTTCTTCTATTATGTTTCAAACTTTTTTCATTCTAACTTATCTTAGATCTTCGCATATCCGATTTCGAAGTAGTCTCGATACTGTGCGTATTAATTTTGAAACTTCGGGCTTTTCACGAAAATGATTACATAAATGCTCCGTCTATAATTTTCGTCGAAATTTCATAGGGGGAAGGAAGGTCTCGATATCTCAAAGTTACAATATATATTGCAATACTTCGCGACCAAACGTTCAAGACAATTAATTGTTCACGAATGGATCGATTACTCGTCAAATATACTTTAACGTCTTTGGTACGAGTGATTTAATCTAGATCTAACTATCGAGTATCGCCTCTTTGCAAGAGGCAGAGAAAGGCGGAAAAATAAAACTACGATTTTCTTTCTCGTTCGAAGTTGGTTTGGTCCTCCAACTTCACCGACAGCGTCTCAACGTCTCGGATTCGGCCACGAGTTTTCCCCCGGCTTTTGAAACATTTGGAAATCTGAAAATTAGGAAATTGAAAAATTTGTACAATTTCGAAATTCCTAATGTATCTTACATCCTACGTATCTCGTGCCGTGTGAGCAGGGTCAGTTCGTATTTTGGGAGGAGGCCAAGTTGACCCTGGTATTTACCGAATTGCAGTACATAGTTAAAGCAAGATGCTTATTTTATACGAGCAAACCTGACCTAGGAAAAGCTTAACGTTTTACTCGTACATTACTAAGAATAGTAATGTTCTTCCTTGACGCTTTTTCTTATTATCGAAAAGCTTAGATTTATGCATTCTGATGCCCGAATTTTGACGATTTCCAAGGATGAATCCCGTTTGGCAAAAGTGAAACGCGTTTTGGCTATCTCGTTGTTGGGACGTAACGGAGGATCTACAAGAGTGTTTGGTAGTCGGTTGGACACGATCGAGCCGTACCTTGACACCGGGGTACCTTTCGTGGTGCATCGATTGTGCAGTTACATCGAGGCCCATGGATTTCAAAGTGCAGCCGTGTTTCGCCTTTCTGGTGGGAGTCCTAGGCTGGCTGAGAGACTGAGAGCCGCTTTCGAGCGAAGAGGAGACGCCGATTTGGAAGCTGCGGCTTGCCCTCCTACCGCGGCCACGCTTCTACGACAGTATTTGAAAGAATTGCCACAATCAGTTGTACCATCCACGCTCGTGGCCAGACTATTGGCCATTCATGCTCGTAAGTTTCTCTCTCTATTTTCTTCTTAGGCATAAATTCTTTCGATTAACACGCTTTTATTACACTAATCTTTCATTTCTAGAGAGTTACTCCAATGATCACGACTGCTGGATCAATTCGACGAAGGAGGTTCTGTCTTCTCTGCCGCCTTCCCACTATCGATTACTCGGTTATCTGGCTCTTTATCTGAGCAAATACGAAGCTCGACATGGACGTAGTGCCGGCGTTTGCGGCGTGTTTGCACCCGTGATTCTACCTCACGTTCCACCTGCTACGACGCTTCTTCGCGATATTTTGGCCGATGCATCTGTACTTTTTCCTGACTGGTAAGTCCCTTCGTAAGTTTCGACTCTTTTTTTTCGTTTGCGCGTAAAATTCTATCTTTTACAATTTCTTTTCCACGTACTGTTACAAGAGTCTGAAATATCCGAATGGTCGTCAAACGGACAGATCTTTCCAGTAGAGTACATGACGTTACCGCCACTAGACAGTTAGGGGATCAGCGATCATGACTGTGTTAGCCATACAAGAGGCTGAATCGATTAGTCTTACTTCATATGCATGTGTTAGCACGCGTCGAAAGCGATAACCTCGAGATTGTTCGCGTGCATCGTTCTATTCGGTTCACTTCGGTTCTGGTTCCATGTACAAGCAGGTACGATTTTGCCCTCACTCTTATTTTCGCAACACGCAAAAATCTCGACAAGTCGATGTTTCATCGTTTCGGTCGTTCGATGCCATTGCCAGAAGTTCGGTCCTGTTATGGGTTTCATTCGATCGTTGCACTTATTCCTTACTGATAGTAAGTACTCGTTGGTTTTATTATTTTTTTATTTCTAGCGGTGCTCCTTTGTTATCGTATGATTTACAAATTTCTTCCTCTAAACTCTTGGTTGAAAGCGAAGCTTCAGATCGACGTATAATCGTGTATCGTACCCTCGCAGATCTTCGAAGTGTTCATGCTCGTTAATGGAACATTCGCAATAGTAACTGTAGTCGTATTATTTAATAATCGTTCAACGAGAAACAAGTATAGCCACGCTTAGAAGCAGGGGAATTCATTTTCTATTCTGGCTTTTCGATTTGATATTTCGAATTAATAATGTTGGTCAGAGTGGTTATTTTTTTTTCTTGACCTTTTTATTATTCGATTCAATTAAGTGACCCTCATAGCTGTTAATGGGTTAATGAAATCTATTTGAATCGTATAATTATTCGTCGGCCTTCCAAGCTGGAAATCGATACTTATTTGTATCGTTCGTCTTCCTGTTGAGATTACGCGCTTCGATCCTTGGCCTTGTTGGGAATCGTTCAACGCCGATGAACGTTCTTGAAACCAATCTCGATGTTTCCTTACCTTCCGTACTTGCTTTTCGATCGACGTTCAAGGAGTCTGCTACGCGTTCTTGCATAGCAATGTTCCGAGTACATATGCATTTGCATTGATTTCAACACTTTTCGATCGTTCGAGGAAAAAATCGACGAAATAATTATAAATTCTAAATTTAAATTTAATCGGTTAATTTCTCGCATCAGTCGCGTTGTAACGTTTCTTGCGATTCGGTGCGAATTAAACGAATCGATATACATCGATTTAATAGATATAAGACTTCTGAATCTCGAAGATTACATTAATTGTTCACGTTTTGGCGTGAATTTGAAATAGTCTCGAAAGAAGCTGAAAGGTGAGTCGGCACCGATATCTTTGCCAAGAATCTGTCTACGAGAACGACTATCGTTGCATCGTTTGTATTTGAAAAAGCTAAAAAAATCGATACTCTTTTTACACTCTCGTTCGAAAACGAATAAAAGAAAAATTGTACTTAAAACTTTATTCCGTAGTAAGAATGGCTAATACGGGTAAAAATGGTATAGCGTGTTATGTTGTATCGAAACTTACATAGTTAATATTACGGTATACTCGGTGCGTTGTATCGACTCTCGTTTCTAACAATTCGATCGACAATCGACCGTTGACACGCAATACGATCGGAGATAAAGTTAACGATTAAAAGCAGAAACCTGATTGCTATACGTTACACTGGATCGATAGAAGAAAATTGTAATTGGTAGCGTAACGATGCCAAATGAAATTTTTCGTCTCGAGGAGAAATTGGTGGCCTGGGAAACCTGCGTCTCGATTGCCCTGTTGTTTAACGTTCGTTTTATTTTTAGCACGTGTTACAACAAAAAATTTACGTTATTTGTAAGGAGCTTCTCGCGTTTCGTTCTAAAACCATTATCAAATATATTTGCACCGTGTCCGCGCGCGTTTTCCTGTCTTTTTTGGCCCAGAAAATATACACCTTCGAAGGTTGGAAGCGTCAAACAATATTCGTCGTTTCGTGAAAATTGCGATAATAAAAATAATATTTGCACAGTAGATCAAATAATGATAATACCGCGAGAATGTTGTGTCACTTTTATGTCGTAACGTCTAAATTCAGGATATTCTCGCTAAAATTATTTTCATTTTAGCGGCCAACTGCGCAGATTTCTCGATTTAGCTCGCAAGTATGAGCGAAAAACTTGAGAGGACACGTGCTGTTCGACTGTGGAGGCTCATTTTTTAACGCGACGCGTGTTTTTATACGTTACTTGCCTCTTTAAAAATTCTTTGACGCGTTGTTCGTTCGTTGCTGATTTTTATCGAAATAACACATATTTTATTTAATTTAATGGGGTAAGCGTTTCGGAGTAGCTCACGATTTCGAAGCATTTGGTCGGTGAAATGCTTCGTCATCGTGCGTGCTAGTAGGTTTAAACTTTACTTTGAAATAGAAAGTACAGAAACGCGGTTAAAGTTATCGAGTTAAAGGTAATTCGTTTATGCGGTACTCATGGTAATACATCGAAATAGCTTATCGATTACACGATTCTTCGAACAATTACAAATTCTCGCTCTCCGCGCGCTCGTTGATTCATGTTTAAAAGTTAATGAACATTTTAAGAACTCGTGGCCCCTACACGATCATCGATTCGTGACAACACCTTGCAACCTGACTTTTTACTTATTTGTAGATTACCAGTGTAAAGGTCGGCTTTTAACAAAAATCTATTAATTGTACGGGTTCCATTCCGTTGTTAAGATAAAAAGATTTCGTTACACGTTCAACGTACGAAGTAACTCGTTATTAAAGATACTATAATTTCATTTTTCAATCGGAGCCTCTTACTTCGTGTTCTCGTGTTTATCGACGCGCTCAATCGAAAGATCAAAGACGAATGTGGGTTTAAACGATTCCATCGATTCGATTTGCGCGCTAAATTATTAGCTGACTCGTGCAAAGAAGGAACACACGATTCTCGGATTGTTTTCGTTGGCAGCCGCATGACAGTGCCGAAAACCGGCTCGTACCGAATCGGCTCGTTCCCTCGGGCCAAAATCGAGAAAACACATTGTAACGATTCTAGGTATTTGTACGTGTGGCAGCGTTCGAGATCGACGAAATTTATTACGGAGGATTACGTCAGTATTGTTGGATCAGTGCCTTGAACGGACTGGTTGTGCACCGACTTAACCGACCCACGAACGACCCACGAGACACTATTAGACTCGACGCATCGGGTCTCGTCGTCTCGTGACTGCTTTCCATTGCGTAAACACGCACATCGCGTGATTAATCCTTTCGTTCTGGATCGCTTATATACAGGATGTTTTAAACGGTGGCTGCGTTTCCCGCATATAAATATATAACGTGTCATATCGAGATACGAGAAAAATCTTTCACAGTCTTTTGTTAGCCACTTTTCCGAATAAGTACGTTTGGAAATTGCTCGTCCTATTTTCGAGATAACTCGAGATTCCAAGTCCGTCGAAAGTTAGACGCTGAACGTTTGAAAGCTCGTATTTCGAAAACGAAGCGGCAAACTACGCTACACAATGGTAAAGTAGAAGATTTTTGAACGGTGAACTTTCGATTTTTTCTCGATACAAGGAATTTGCGCAATTTACTTGAAACGCTCTGTATACTTAATCAATCGATAATCGATCGTTACGCGATTACGAGATGTTAGATCGTAGACGCGAAATCACGAGAGCCATCAAATACAGTAGAAACGGTTGATTTCTATCGCATAACGAACGCCGCAATAAAAACCAGTCGAATTGATATTAATAAACGTCGAAGTAACTGTAACTACGAATCGATTCATCTTCGCAATGCGGTAGCGAGCGATTTCGAAATCCGAAGCAAAAAAGGGATTATCGCCGAGTTGATTTGTTCGAGCACGAAGTTACAACACAGGGTGCACGTTCGTTGCACGATGCGTCTGTATGCCATTGCCGGCTGATTTTACGATCTAACTTCGAGCTACATGTAACATCCACCGACCAAAAATAACGCGGTTGACGTCAGTATGCCAAATGTGTGATCGCGAGATACCTTAACTAGCGAGCAACGAGCACTATTCGCTATTGGGCGTTATATCGTGCAAACAACAGATGGTCGCACGGAAATATTAAAAAGCTACCACACGATTCTATCGATCGCGATGTTTATTATGCCGGTAACGTAATCGTCTGGTTTCACCTTAGTCTCAAGTTTGAAAGAAAGAAGATAAGTCGTCATGAATTAACGAAGATGCCTTCGCCTAAACGGACCAGAATTCAAAAATGTTTCAAATATTTTCTTTCGAAACTAATGGTTCAGAAGATACTCGAGTGAGTAGATTCGCATAATACAGCCTGTGCGCGTGTATGTCCTTAAGATCCTTAAGATCAAAGATTTCGCTATTTAAAAGTGGCATTTCCGCGTGTTCGTATCGTAAGTTTAGCAGAAAACTTAAGAAAAGAAAAGAAACGTCGTAAACGCTTAAACGAGCTCTAAAGCTGTATCTGGTAAATTTCGTTTAGCAAAAAAGCTCCGTCGTGTTACGTGCTCTCGGACTTTGCCTCGAGTCGAATCAAACGATCGCGTTAATTAACGGACGCGGTCGTGGTGTCGTTTCAAGAAATTTTGCAAGAAAAGTATTCGTGATTACCGCGCGAATCGCTAATAAATTGCAACGTTAGAGGTTGTCGAAATTTTGTGATTAACGTTCATTGAAAATTGCGTTTATTAACCGATTCGTTATCAGTACCGCATACATATGTATGTACGCGTAACGTTCCAGTTTCTCTCGGGACCACCGTTACGCGTGTGTCGTGACCACGAATTTGCATTTTATACGCCTACAAAATAGCTAAAACTCAAATAGCGCGTATTATTCGACATTCCGTTACGTTATTTTATATTTTCCGCGAAAAGCGTAGCTCCTTACTTATTCGTATATGTACTCCGTGTGCGTATGTAACAAACTATTTTTTAAAATAGATTCAGAAAAT